GCTTTTATTTTTGGGGGGAATAAATTTAAAACTTGGATTTTTCACCCCAGGGTGAAAAATCCCCCCCCCCAAATCCCCCAGTCCCCCCCAGACCCAAATTCTCTTTGTTCTTCTCGGAATCCTCCTCTCAAAGCCACAAACTTTCCCGAAGGTTTCCCCTCTTTGAGTGAGGATGATAAATTAAGCTGTAATTTTGTAAAATTGAGGATGATCCCTCTTAATTGCATTCTTGGGAAGGGGGGGGCGGGGACACGCTGTCTGCCACCCTGGGCAAGAGTCACCCCTCCCCGGGGGAGGGGGAGTCCCTCAGGTGAGGGAGGGTGAAAGTCCACGTCCACGTTTGGCCGCCGGGATGAGTAACACCTGGGTGTGGGGAATAAGCCATAAAATCATGGAATCACAGAATGGGTTGGGTTGGGAGGGACCCCAAAGCCCCCCCAGTGCCCCCCCTGGCCCTGGGCAGGGACACCTCCCACCAGACCAGGTTGCCCCAAGCCCCCTCCAACCTGGTCTTGAACCCCTCCAGGGATGGAGCAGCCACAGCTTCTCTGGGCAACCTGGGCCAGGCTCTCACCACCCTCAGGGAGAAGAATTTCCTCCCCAGATCTCACCCAAATCTCCTAATTTTTGGTTTAAAACCCTTCCCCCTCATCCCATTGCTCCCCTCCCTGATCCAGAGTCCCCCCGCTTTCCTGGAGCCCCTTGAGGGACTGGAAGGGGCTCCAAGGTCTCTTCTCCAGGCTGAACCCCCCCAACTCTCTCAGCCCCCCCTCCCAGCATCTCCAGGGCCTCACTCCAACACCTCCGTGTCTCTAAACTTCCACAGCTTATTTTTTTTATTTTTATTTTTGTTCCCCCCCTTCCCAGCTCTACCGTCCCAGCTTCGTGCCTCTGGGGGCTGCCACCGTCCCCACCATGTCTGCGGCGTATCCCGGCGCTTCCGTCTTCCTGCCCATGGCCCAGTCAGTGGCCGTGGGACCCATCGGTTCCTCGGTCCCCATGGCCTATTACCCAGTGGGACCCGTCTATCCTCCAGGCTCCACGGTCCTCGTCGAAGGGGGCTTTGATGCCGGAGCGAGGTTTGGGGCCGGTGGAACCGCCAGCATCCCCGTAAGTACCAATGTGGCCCCAAAACCCCACGGGTTTCGGTGCTGGGGGTTCACAGGTGGAAGAAGTGGGGGGAGAAAAGCATATTTTTTGGAGAAAACCACATTTCTTTCCAAATCCATCATCTGGGAAAAGAGTGGGCTCCTACTATCACTGAGCGTTTGCTGCCTCTGGCCAACCTGTGGCCGTGTGGGCTCGCTGGGGGTTGTGGCTCGCAGCAAAGCCATGGCGTGGCCAGTGCTAGCCCCTGCTTTGGCCGGGGGGCCGTGGTGGAATGCGCTTTGGGGGGAGGCCAACCAGTGGGGCTGCTTCACCACCTGATTTCCCTCCAGCCCCAAAGGCAGCCTTGGCCTCTCTTCTTGCTGCCGTGGGGCTGGGGGAGGTTCCTCCTCCCTGGCACGTTCTCCCCGTGGCTCATGGCCACGGGAGGGGGATGTTCCCCGGCCCATGGCTGCGGGTTCAAGGGGAGAGAGAAGGGCTCAGACCAAGAACCGAGTGTTCCTGGAGCCATCACTCCATCTTTCATTGGTAGCAAGCGATGGGGACATCCACTGGGAGGTTTCTGGGTCCTCACGGTGGTTTTGTGCCACCTCCCTGGGATGATCCAAGGGCTGGAGCCCCTCTGCTGGGAGGGGGGGCTGAGAGAGTTGAGGGGGTTCAGCCTGGAGAAGAGAAGGCTCCGGGGAGACCTTGGAGCCCCTTCCAGTCCCTCAAGGGGCTCCAGGAAAGCTGGGGAGGGACTCTGGATCAGGGAGGGGAGAGATGGGACGAGGGGGAAGGGTTTGAAGATTGAGCTGAGATGTGGGGAAGAAGTTGTTTGGTGTGAGGGTGGTGAGAGCCTGGCCCAGGTTGGCCAGAGAAGCTGTGACTGCCCCATCCCTGGAGGGGTTCAAGGCCAGGTTGGAGGGGGCTTGGAGCAACCTGGTCTGGTGGGAGGTGTCCTGAGGTTTGGAGCTGTTTTAATGTCCAAACGTTCTGTGATTCTGTGGTGATTCCATGACTTCCCTGGGTTGGAAGAGACCTTGAAGATCATCCAGTCCATCCATCAACCCACCACTGCCCAACTCACCACTGACCCATGGCCCTCAGCACCGGCTTTTAGATCCCTCCAGGGATGGTGTTTGGGGAGTGGAGCCATAGGACGAGGGGGAAGGGTTTTCAACCAAAAAATGGGAGATTGAGATGAGATCTCAGGGAGAACTTCTTCCCTGTGAAGGATGGTGAGAGCCTGGCCCAGGTTGCCCCGAGAAGCTGTGGCTGCCCCATCCCTGGAGGGGTTCAAGGCCAGGTTGGAGGGGGCTTGGAGCAACCTGGTCTGGTGGGAGGTGTCCCTGCCCAGGGCAGGAGGACTGGAACTCGATGATCTTTAAGGTCCCTTCCCATCCCAAACCATTCTACGAGTTCTGTGACATCTCCCATGGCTAATCCCACCTCAATACCTCTCCTTTCTCTTCTCTTGCAGCCCCCCCCTCCTGGCTGCCCCCCCAACGCCGCCCAACTGGCCGTCATGCAAGGAGCCAACGTCTTGGTGACGCAACGGAAGGGCAACTTCTTCCTGGGGGGCTCAGACGGCGGCTACACTATCTGGTGAAGGAGGAAGAGGGGGGGGGGAAAGGAAGCC